TTCTCCTTTCCTCCAAATATTTGCTGTAGAGGTTTGTGGGCAGTTCAGTATTTATATATGCATACAGCCCTGACAGCCCCACAAGTGGCCCCAGGCCCCTTCTTGCAGGACACAGAACCATGTCCACATTTGTGCCCCAGAGAGCAAAGTTCTGGCTCAGTCACTGCAGGTTTGCAGCCTGGATCACTGCAGTAAGGGAAAATGGGGAGGTCTGAGGAGAGCACAGAGGCTGTGCTGGTGGCGGTGCTGTCTGTGGATTTGCCCATTTGGAAATGAATTGCCACTCTCCCCATTGGGCACCTCTGTTTTTTGGCAGAGTTCTTCTTTGGGCAGCCTGATGTGGGTGGCAGCACTGCCCGTGGCAGGAAGTTGGAAATAAATGATCTTAAGCCCCCCTCCAACCTACGCCATTCTATGACTATGATAGGTGATGTTGGCTCCTGCCAGGAGATGCTCTCTGGGGTATCACTGCCAGGACCCTATAAAGGCATTGAAGCCACTCTGTGAAGTGGTATTCCTGATCCATCTCCTCTTGCCTGAGCTGATTTCTGAGCAGTATAAATAGGAGACGAGAGGCTGAAAGCGGACAAAGGTAGATTCAGTGGACTTGGAATGATTTGAATGGATAATTGCAGGTTCCCAATCTGCTGTATTTATACAGCTTTTCCAGGAAAAAAAGAGAGGGGAAAAAAAAAAGAAAAAAAGAAAACCGAAACAGTTTCCATGCAGAGTATGCTCTCCTGGAGGATTTGTCTGACCTTCAGCACCATTTTTATCTGCAGGATGTAATTACTGCAAAGCTAGAAATAGCAAGCATCTGGAAAGGGCTGTGTACCTGCGTTTGGTGCTCCCTCTGCTACTGCATGGAGCAGCAATGGCTTAGGAACAGGGAAAGCTGCTCTGACCCAAAAAGTCTTTGACAGCACTTAGCTGGGACTCAGGGTGCGTGCTCAGGCCAAGCCTGGTGCATGGAACCTGTGTGTAACACCAGAGCCTGTGCTTCCAGCACCGCTTCACTGCCTCCTGGAGACCACAACCCACTGAGGTCCCAAAGCGGGGGCAGATGGAGCGGCGATGTCCTCTTGTGCTGTTTGCTGATGCTTGGCACACTCGTGAGGAAAAGTCTGGCAACCCCAAGCTGCCTTCTGCTCAGAGCTGAGCGCCAGCTGCTTCTGCGTGCGTTCACACCATATGGATTTTAGCTCACATCTTGCTCGCGTGGCTCTCACTGCTGGGGAGAGCAGGGAAGGGCCGGCAGTGATTTATTGGTCACACTCCCTTTGCAAAGCAAGCAGCCACTTTTGCTGCTGGCAGCTTCAGGGCCCTCTCCCACAAACCCTGAAGTGTGTGTTTAGTGGTGGTCACCCTGCCGGCTCCCCCAGAACCGCAGGCATGGGGAGCTCTGCCCTTCCTGTCCTTAAATGGGTCTCTGGTCAGTAAGAGTGTTGTGCTGTACCACGTTGGTGCACCTACCATGCATCTTCTCCATGATAAAACCAGCTGCAGTCAGCCTTCTGAAGCTCCTTGTTCCTTTAATGCCTTGCTGCATGCATGAGAATGCACAGTGCTCTCTGGTATTCATACTGTTTCAGCAGTTGTCCTGGATGTTCAATAAATTACCAAAATCTGGAACTCGTGCTGGTGGAGGAGGACTGACCAAAGAGCCCATCCTTCATCTCTGAGGATGTTTACAGCCTCGGGATATGTAGGTTGTGCTGCTGCTCTCCCTTCTGCTGGTACCACTATTAGAGCAGTCCTTAATTTGCTGTGCTGTAAGGAGCCTGGGGGAAGGCATGGGCAGGGTGATGTACTCATGTTCAGCTTCTGGCTGAGGTTGCCCAGGGAAGTGGTGGATGCCCCATTCCTGGAGACACTCAAGGTCAGGCTGGATGGAGCTCTGAGCACTGATGGAGCTGTAGGTGTCCCTGTTCATTTCAGGGGAGTTGGACTAGATGGCCTTTGAGGGTCCATTCCAACTCAAATAAGGAGCATTGGGATTTGTGGCAACTGGGAAATGGAGAGCCAGTGAGGAGGGGAATCATATCATATTGTAGAATGGCTTAGGTTGGGGGACAACTTAAAGTCCATCCAGTTCCAACCCCACTGATGTGGGCTGATTGTGCCCCACCAGATCAGGCTGCCCTGAGCCCCATCCAACCTGACCTTGAATGCCTCCAGAGAGCATCCACAGCTTCTCTGGGCAGCCTGTTTCTGAAGGCTGAGGCCTACCAGCATGAGTTGCAGACATGGACCCACCAGGTTGTGGGTCTGGCTGGGCTCAAGGTGGAGAGAGTAGAGGTCCTGCTCACACATTCAAGTGTTTTCCCAGTAGAAGATGGAAGTATTTGGGTCTTCTCACTGCTTTGCTGTGTTACAAAACTCCACTGATGTCTTCATTAGCAGAGCAATAATGGAAATATGGAGCTACTTAGGGCCTGGGCATTCCGGGTGCTGTGGAATTAGCTTTGGTCTTGGCTATGGGGAGAGATGACTATGTTCTCCATAGTGTTCTTCCACAGAGAATCTTTTCTGCTCCCTCAGCCCTACCTTGAAGAATCATAGAATCATTATGGTTGGAAAAGATCTCTAAGATCAACTAGCCCAACTGTTCACCTACCATCAATACTGCCCAATAACCACATCCCTGAGAAAAGAGAGGAGGGGAGCAGGAGGAAAAGAGCCCCAGCTGAGGGCTGAGGGCTCACATTAGCTGGGCTGGGAGCTGTGAGGTGTTAGAGAACTTCCATGGGACAGGAGAAGGGATGGCACCAGGCTCTGGTCGCTGAGGAGGTGCTGAAGTGACGTGGTTCTGTTGGCTGTGATCAACTGAGAGTGGGGCACCTTCTTTGGGCAGGGAGAGGTGATCGTGCTGGTTTTATTCAGCCCATGTGCTGTGAGCAGGTTAACCTCTGGGATTAAATAGTGCATAAAAGAAAGATCTGAGCATCTGAAGGGCCGTACCTTTGTAAATCAAGCTCTTGGCCCTGTGGTTTGGGGGCCTGACTCCGAAGGCCTTTCTGTGCATGGAAGAGCTGCTCTATTCGTAGTGCTCCCAGCTTAGATGCAGCCTGGGGCAATGTCAGTCCTTGTTTTTCCAGTCTGCTAAACTACCACATATCCTACCCTTGCCCGTTCTTTTTCTGAAGTCAAGACTATCTGGAGCTCTTTTTATGACAAAATGAGCCTCTCTGCTGGTCAGTCATGGTTTTATTTATGTCTTATTTTCATTGGTTAGAAAAGAAAATATCAGTAAATGAAAAAGGACTCAAGTTTCCAATAGCCGTATCTGTAGTAGTTAACTTTTTTGAAGCAATACTTGTATCCCTACGTGTGCCTCTAACCTTTCCATGTATTTGTTCAGCTTTGTCAGGTCTGAGTGTGAAATATCTCTGAGAAGATAGCTCTGTAAGTGATGGTGTAAATGCATTGTTTGTATGTATTCTAAAGTTTAAATAGATTGTACATATTGGATTGTAAATGAACTGTAAACAGCAATCTATATTTTCTTGAATATATTATATAGCAGTATATATTTGTTAAATAAGTATTCTTGTATACTCTTCAATAACCTTTTTAATATTTTGTACAGATAAGTTTATTAAATATTTTATTGATAAATAGATCTCGGCAACAGTTTTTCTTTCTAAGACTTGTGCCTTTGTGCCAAAACCAGGTGGCTCATTTCGAGTACCTTTCCTAAGTCACATTGGCTTCCTGGGCTATTGAAGTTACTAAGGCAAACAGTGAAAAAGCCGTTCATTTTGCAGCGCTTTCCTTGGCAAGCTCAGGTATTTTAGAATGGGAAAAAAATGGGAGAACACTGAGTGCTTGCAATGCGTTTCTCATCAGAAAACGTCCATCCCTTTTCTTCCCTGTGTGTTTGAAAACATTTCTCCTGCCTTGACTAGGAGCAACCCAGCTCCAGCCAACCAAGCAGAATGCTCTCCATTAACCTGAACACAAAACTGTAGGAGCT